TTACATTCTTTACACCAGTTCGCCACATTCTTAGTTTCTAGCGAAGTATTTAGTGGCCGGCATTCTCGACCCGTGTCGTTACCTCTTGCTATTGACCCGCCAGACCGCAACTGGTTTCTGCACATACGCCCCCTCCCCACCACCACCCCCGCCCCCTCACTCTGGGCCGCTCCCGATGCAGATGCGTGGGACTGGACTGGATGGGAGGTGGCCGGCTGCGCGGCCGCACAAGTTATGGACCATGAGATTGAGACAAAAAACTGAGATTTCGTCGCTACTATGCCCCACCCCTTATTTACACATATCAATACGCAATATTTCCACTTCCCTTGCCTCTATTCCCAAATATGTCTCTCTGTTGCAGGTGAAGCTGGGCTGTCGGCTCTCGGGGACCTGCGGCGCAGTCCTGGTGAGTTCACCCGCCCTCTCCTCCCTCGGAAGCGGTCGTAACTCAACTAGTTGCGGCGGGGCGTAAGTCGGGAGTACCTTCTGCACTCTCTACAGACGGACGGATCAGCAGCCGCGACGTTATTTTCGGAGAACCTCCTCCTCCTCCTGAACCAGTTGCTGTCATCTCTGTATCATGCAACAGTTTTTTTCCCCCGCCGCGGTCCGTCCACCCTGGCTGCCGCTCCTGCCGTTCCTTAGCGGGCGTTTAGAGTCGAGCCGCATCGCGACCGGCCAGACGTACCGCTCCCCGCCACGCCCCGCCCCGCCACGCCCCGCTGGTTTAACATTTTTAAACTCGGACGCCGCCGCCGCCGTCCCCTCTCGGTGGTTCGCATGCTGTCGCCGCCGCCGTCTTTACTTTAAATATAACGATCACCATTTATTTGTCTTTTCTTTTAGCAGTGTATATAAACGCAATTGGCGCAGCGTGATGGGCATTGGCAGCGTTGCCATTCAGGTGGAAGGGCGGGTGGGGAACATTTCTGTCTGTCTCTCTCCCTCTCTCTGCCCCCCCTCTTCCCCTCCTCTCCCTACACAGACACACATACGGTGGGGTGGCGTCCGGCGCGGCGCGGCGCCTGGCGCCTCTGTGTACCTGACGGCAGAGCTGGCCCTCTCCCCTCCCGCCTTTCCTCGTCATCTCCTCCCTCCTCCCCTCTTTCCCCCGTCCTTCCCTCTCCCCTCCCTCCTCCCTTTCCCTCTCCTGCTTCTCACCCAAAGCCCTTCCGCGTGTTGTTTATTCTTTGCTCTTTTGTTCGCAAAAAAAAAGAAAAAATGACACAAATTTGGGCGGCGTGAGGGGGAGGCCGACTTTCTGTGTGTGACCCTGGTGCCGACGACGCCAGGAAGGGGCGTGCCATAATGTGACCACAATGTGACCACAATGTGGCCACCACATGAAATCATCTGCATCTCGAAACGGAAATGAGAGCAGGAGAGTATGAGATGAAGGGCTAAGGATTCTTAGCCTCATCGATGAGGCGACACAGGCAACCCCGGCAACCACCAGGCTATCGTGATGAACTTACTCTATGCGATGCAATCGTTTGCTCATTGTTACACACATACGACACCCCTCCCCCCTTCATATCCCCTCAATTCCCTACACCCGCCCACACCTCCATGCCAGACGCATCATGGCATCATGCATGATGAGCGTGCAGAAATATCCTAGAGCAGAGAGACGGCTGTTCTCTGATCCCTGTATAGGGGCTTTAGCTGCAGGTGGCAGCTGCAGAAACCTGCTCATTACAATACTACTCGGGAGAGAGAGAGAGAGAGAGAGAGAGAGAGAGAGAGAGAGAGAGAGAGGGAGGGAG